ACATTAAACTTGAAGTGATAATTAGCCAGTATTCTGGGGTACAATGTGATGTTTTGATAAATGTATACATTGTGGAATGATCAAATTAGGCTAATTAACATATCCATCTCTTCGATTACTTTTGTTTCTTTACAGTGAGAACATTTAAAATCCATTCTTTTAGCTACTTAAAAATATATGATGCATTACTATTAACTATAGTCAACATGCTGTGTAATAAATCACCAACACCTTATTCTATCATTTAATGCTTTAGGATCATCCATCTGCTCCTTGTCTAAAATATCAGGAGAGACTAAATTGTTTGACTTAGATATTTCCATCTATTAAAATACAACATAAGGAAAAAAAAGAATCAGTAAACTGTGTTTTAAAAAACGATATTGTGTAAAATAATTCATCTGAATGCTTTCCTAAATCATATATTAATAATTTATTCCCCAAGTAAATTGAGAGCCTGTTTTATATCAGGTGCTCTGAACCAAGATCCTCAGTAGTAATTTATATCCAATGATTTTTGACTCTGCCACCAGTGGCCATAGGAAACATTTCTCATTACCTGAATTAAACCTTCCTTTATTCTGAAACAAATTGAAATAAGAAACTCTTCTCTTTAGAGAGAAGAGCACACAGGCAGGAAGAGCCAGGGGATGAACGCATGCACCTTGAGTATCTGAAGGAAGAAAGTGTAGAGACCAAACACATGTAGAGGCATAGAGCTGTGTTACTGATAGTTAATGAGGTGATTGGTGTCAGTTGTTGAGAACCTATGACCCCCCAGAGCCCAGGACATCCATCCAGCTCTTGTGAGAATGAAGAAAAGGGACCATAGTTGTATCATGGCATGATCAAGGAACACAGACTCAGCAGTTGGGGAGCCCTTAATCTGATGGGAGGTGAGACACACCTATCCACCCTCCCCTACACATCTGCAAAAAATTTCTGACCGCTTCAAATGGATAGAGTAGCTATGTATGCATAAACATCTTTGCATATGTGATTTCTACATATCCGTGTGCAATAATTCTCTCATAGTTTAAATTACCAAACTTGGCTGACTTGATAAACAGAAGGAAATATGGGGGTCTCTAAATAAATCTGGAAAATTAAAGGGAATGTGATTTTCTGGAATGGAGAGATATTATGGAGTGAGTCTATGATTGGAGCATCAGAGTGAAGATGTCTGACCCGTCCAGTCTTGAGATAAGATAGACCACAGAGTGCAAAACTACAAGGTGCAGCTACAATTGATGAACGAGCATTCTCCACAAAGGAGTTGCATTGGGTGCTGTCTCTCTCTCTCTCTCTCACACACACACACCCGCACACACACACGCACACGCACACACACAGACATGCACCCCTCCCCAAGCAAATTAAGGTCCACAAATTTTATTGGCTTTTATAGAAGTAAAACCTACCTATTTGAGACTTAATCTTGTTTAACAATTTCTCTAAGCCCTGTTTCATGTCTTTGTTTCTTAAACTGTAGATAAATGGGTTTAGCATTGATGTCAACACAGTGTAGGTGATTGTTGCTATTTGGTTCTTGACAGTATAGCTGGACAAGGGCTGAAAGTAGACATAAGTAATACTTCCATAAAACAAGGTCACCACAGTGAGATGGGAGCTGCAGGTGGAGAAGGCTTTGCGTTTTCCAGCTGCTGAGGGAATCTTGAGAACAGAAATGAGGATTCTCAGGTAAGAGATGAGGATACAGACAAAAGGACCCATCACAGCTGCCAGGCCTTCTGTCATGGCCACAACTTCAATGACAAAGGTAGAAGAGCAGGACAGTTTCAGAACAGGGTAGACATCACAAAAAAAGTGATGGATAACATTTGATGCACAAAAGGTGAGCTGATTCACCAGGAGAACGTACAGGAGGGAGTGGAGACAGGGGAAAGTGATGGAGAAGGCCAGTAGCAAGGCACAGCACCTGCGATTCATTACAGTGACATAGTGGAAGGGGTTACAAATGGCTACATAGCGGTCAATGGCCATAGCTGCCAGGAGGTAACTGTCTGTGTTTCCAAAGGCCAGGAA